TCTTTTGTAATAACTCATTGTTAGGAAATATAACTGATTTTTGTATGTTGATTTAGTATCCTGAATTGGTTTACTAGTTGTAACATTTTTTAAATGAAGCCTTTAGGGTTTTCTACATGTAAAACCATGATAGCTGCAAACAGGGACAGTTTTACTTCTTTCTGATTTGTATGTCTTTTATTTGTTTTTCTCGTTTAGTAGATCTGGCTGGGACTTCCATTATCATGTTAAATAGAAACAAGAAGAGTAGGCTCCCATGATCTGTTCACGATTTTGAGGAAAAGTTTTCAGTTTTGCTCTTTGAGTATTTTGGTTATGAGCTTTTCATATAAAGGGGTGGGCAAAAGTAAGTTTATAGTCATGAGTATATGAAACAGAGTTAATCATAACCTGCATGTCTTTTCCACGTCAACAGCTGTAAACCTATTTTTGCTCACTCCATCTAATAGCTATGTTGTTTATTGGATACCCAGAATTTATTTATCTTGTAACTGGAGGTTTGTACCCTTTCACCAATATCCCCCTGCTTCCTTTACCCTGGCAGTCTTTGGTAAAATTCTACTTAGAATTCTACTAAGAATTTTACAGTTTCAAATTTTATATTTGTAGCTTTATTATAAGGTCATTTTTGTGAGGAGTGGTGTAAGGAATTTGGTTTCATTCTTTTGCTTATTATCCAGCTTTCTAAAAAACATTTATTGATGAGACTGTGCTCTTCCTATTGAATATTCTTGTCTCTCTTGTCAAAATTAGTTTATTTTATATGCTAAGGTTTATTTCTGGGCTCTCAATTCTGGTCCAGAAATGGTCTATGTGTCTATTTTTTTCCCAGTAACATACTGTTTTGATTACTATAGCTTTGTAAATTTTTTGTAATCTGTGAGTGTGATGCTTCTAAGGTGGTTCTTTTTTTTTTTTTTTAGATGTAATTTAGATAATCAGGGTCTTTTAAGGTTCCATACAAATTTTAGGATTGTTATTCTATCAGTGAAACATACCATTGGAGTTCTGATAGGAAATACATTAACTCTATAGATGGCTTTGAGTTGTATGGTTAGTTTTAATAACAGTACTATTTCCAATTTTTGAACACAGGCTATCTTTACATTTGTGTATCCTTAATTTCTTTAATCAAATTATTTTAGTTTTCATTGTACAGAACTTTCATCTCTTCGGTTTAATTTAGTCTTAATTATTTTATTATTTAGGATGTTATAAAAATAGAAATATTTCTCTTTTTTTAGATTTTTTTGTTAGTGTACAGGAACACAACTGATTTCTGTATATTGATAGTATATCTTGCAAGTTTACTGAATTTTTTCTTATTGGTTCTAACTGCTATTGGTACAATCTTTGAGATTCTGCAAATAAAGATAATTTCATTTCCTTCTTTCCAATTTGAATGCTTTTCATTTATTTTTCCTGACTGATTAATCTGGTTAGAAATTCCATTCCTATGCTGAATAGGAGTAGTGAAATGGGCACCGTTATCTTTCCCTGATCTTAAAGAAAAAATTTCAAGCATTCATAGCTGAGTACAAAGTTAGCTGTGGGCTGGTCATATATGGCCTTTATTATGTTGAGGTACGTTTCTCTTATCCCTAATTTTTAAAGCATTTCTACAATTAAACATGTTGAATTTTGTCAAATGTTGGTGCAGGATGAGATTAAGGATAGAGGAATCTGTGATATGAAATAAAAGTGGTTCAAAATTCACATTTTTTAGTTAAAAATGTGTTTGAAATGCAGAGAACCTTGGCTGGTAATAGAAAACATTTGAAACATTTGCCATAACCGCATAATGAAATAAAAGGATTGCATTTTCTGCTGCCATGAAGCTATTTAATAGAAGAAATGGGCAGTAAGGTAGTTGTGCTTCACTGTGTTTAATCTTCTTAAACTGTCCCAGGGGAATTTCCTTCAGTTAGTTCCTATTACTTAATTAGTCCCTTGTGGGAAAGTGCACATAAACTACTGTACTTTGTAGAGTTTCCCAGGGGCATGCAGATGCCAGTCCATGTGCTGAAAACAAAGCTGAGAGCAAGTCTCAGGTCACTAGACGGCTCTCCAGGCCTTGGGCAGGAATTCCGCTATGTCAATATTGAAGCCACTTTGACATATTCCTTCCACAACTTTAATTTGTGTGCAAGCAAATCATGTGATATTTGAAGATGTTATTAAAAGTGAATGATTTCATATTGTGATTGCTATTCCTATCAGGAACGCTTTCTAAACGATACCCCATGTGGATTAAACTCTCCAAGGGAAACCTTTGTTGTTTCTTGGTCTGTCCCGTAATAAAATGTCAAAGGAAAGATGATAAGGAAACAAATTGCTTAAGGTGGTATATTAGGCATGATAAACCTTTGAGGTTTTATCTATACAAACAGATCAAATTGGAGCTTAACATTCTGATGTAATTTGTCCTGCCTTCCCCGTCTAGAGGCAGACTGATGTAGATAAATATCCAACGGCCTTTAAAAAGGATGACACAAAGCTGCTTTTCTACTCTGTCTCCAAGTTCTGATCAATAATTTCCCTTTGGGGGCTCACTGCCTTTCAAAACAAAATCCCTCAGCCTGGCTCTGTGCCATGTCAGCCTAATTTAAAAACAAAAGTGAGGGTGGGGGATGCCAGTCAATAAAATGCTACCACTCATTTCCCCTGATACTTAGTATAGTGAGAATAACAGTGTTTTTTTCCTATCATCCCATCTAGAAACAATGAAAGTATCTTTATTATTTAAAATGATATCAGTCTGAATATAAAATACATATTGGGCAGGCCATCTTATATTCTCTAAATGTAAACTGATTCTTTTAAAAGGAAAATAATCATTGAAAGTATAGTGTGACTTGATTGATTATGAATTGGACTCTATATGCCTGCCAAATATGTATACACATATCCATGTTTATGTGTTCCTTAGAGAAGAAAAACCTGATTTTAAATTTTGATAATTGTTTCTGTGAGTTCATTAGGATATACAAATAGGGTGGGTGGATGAGAAGTAATCAACCAAAGCGCTCTATTGTCTATGTCCATGGGTTACGCATATGCATACAGGCTTTGGTTTGTTACTTCCCTTCCACCCACCCTCCCCTGCC